AGAAGAAGAAGAAGAAGAAGAAGAAGAAGAAGAAGAAGAAGAAGAAGAAGAAGAAGAAGAAGAAGAAGAAGAAGAAGAAGAGTAAACATTAATGCTATAACAAGCATAAGTTGTGTGTTCCACCTTATATCCAGAGAACAGTTTGGGATCAGATAGTTGTATTTGAGAAAGAGCTGAGAGTTTTAGCTTACAGCAAGCCTGGGCTGTTAATAAGGACTTATGATGCTCAGGGTCTATGCAGGCAGTTAGGCAGGACACCCACTATTCACTGGTTACCAAACCTAGGACAGGAATTCAAACATCTCTGCCCCCTGCATATTGCCCTTGCAGTCACCAAGGGAAACACTGTGCAGTCAAGCCTAGGACAGAACGAAGTTTTACTCACACAGAGAGGAGACAGAGAAAGAGCAGATTCAGTTTTCTGCATCAGTCCTGCACAGCTAATGTCTCTCCCAACCACTGGTGAAGACCAGCTGGCTGTGTGCGCTCTTCTCCGCCTGTAGCAGAAGCACCCTCTGCCCATTCCTCAGAAGACAGATGTAGTATAGTATTGGTCCTGTGGTGCACATACTTAAGCCAAAAAAAAGAAAAAAAATCACATTGATATTAAGCTCAAAACTGGAAAATACTAGGTGACTAGCTCAACAGAAGCCACCTGGGAAAAATTCCAGGCCCAGATCTGTTCTTACACAGCCATGAGGTGGGGTGAAAGATGTACCTGAGACTGCCTTGCCAACTGCATCTCAGATGCTCCATGACAAGCTCATTCAGCACCAGTAGAGAGTGGGCTTATGCATCACATCTGCACTGTTAACCATCTGCACTGTACGTGAGAATTTAATATAGGCATGTGCCAGACAAGGCATGGCCCAGAGAACAGTAAGGATGAAGAGGGGTGTGATGCTGAGTTTTGAGTTTTATAAGAAATGCAATGCCTACCGATCTCTCTCTCTCTCTCTCTCTCTCTCTCTCTCTCTCTCTCTCTCTCTCCTTTTTAGTTCATTGTTTCTTTTCTTCCTCCCTTCTTTCTGTTGGAAGGCTGTTTTAGAACTGGATTTGACTGTGAATAATAGAAAACCAAATGAAAGAATGAAACCAAATAAAAGTGTATAATTCTCAAATGAAATCCTTAGATGAGCTGGGGTTGTAGCTTAGTGGTACAGTATTTGTGTAGCATGTACAAGGCAGAGAGAGAGAGAGAGAGAGAGAGAGAGAGAGAGAGAGAGAGAGAGAGAGAGAGAGAGACAGAGAGACAGAGAGAGACAGAGACAGGAGACAGAGACAGACAGACAGAGAGAGATACAGAGAGACAGACAGAGAGACAGAGAGAGAGATCACTTCAGTACTTAGTTTCTTGTGATTATGTTCCAACCACGGTGAACAATTTGTAACCCCTCTGGCCTTTTTAGGAGTTTATCTTTGGTTTTCTGCAGTGTGAAAATTATATGCTTAGGTACAGTTTTTTGGCATTTATCCTACTAGTTATTCTTGAGCATCCTGTACCTGTGATTTTTGCATTTGACATTACTTTGTGAGAAATTCTCAATCTTTATTGTTTCAAACACTGGGCAGACCTTCTATTGTTTCCTTTCTTCTCCTGTGGGTATTAGTATTATATCTGTCATGCTTTTTGTTTTTATTCTAAAGTCCTTGGATATTCTGTCCTGGCTTACAGTTGGTGGGGGAAATGGAGGGTCAGGGGTGTTTGTAGTTTGGTATTTTGCAGTACTAGAGATTGAACTGAGGCCCCCCGAGACTCCTAGGCAAGCACTTTCTACTGTCTCCAGCTCTCTTGTCTTATTTTTCCCACTCTTTGTGTTTTGTTGTTGTTTATTTGTTTTGCTTTGCTTTTTGCTGTAGTGCATCAAAATTCTTGACGGCTTTAAAACAACAGACATCACACTACCATTTGGCATTGGGCCCTCAGAATTACATAGCCTTACCTATCCACGGGGCTTATAAAGGATATGCAATTTTAATTTGGGGGAGAGAAAGAATAAGTACAGAGGAAATCAAGAAGATATTCAGCATCCTCATTCACACATGAGATGTGAGATGTAATTTGCTCTGGAGCACACAACTGGTAAATGAAAATTGTCATCAGTTGAGCCACACTGTTGGTCTCTGAGCTATTCTGCCTCAACTTCCATCTGACTGCAGTCACTTGTATTTGTATTTCTAACATGTTATCACTTGGCAAGTCTCTACAAGGACAACATTTTAACTTTTAATTTTTTTTTTTTTTCAAATCAGGGCTGGGAAGCTAGAAATTCCCTTGAATATCTGTGAGAATTTTCTCTGCAAAAAAAAAAAAAAGTCTAAGAAAAATGTGAGCAAGGCTTGCCTGGCAAGCACAAGGTCCTAAGTGTGATTCCCAATACCAAAAAGAGAAGAAAGAAAGAAAGAAAGAAAGAAAGAAAGAAAGAAAGAAAGAA